TAATTCCAACCATAATAGTATATGAGTATGTGGTTGCCCTTTTTTTTAGAACTCAATTTTATATACAACTATACAATAAAAAAATATAAAAATAAAAATAAAAATTCATATAAATGTTTAAAAAATTATAAAATTAGAAATAATATTACCAAAAAACAAACATACCTCCTAAAACACGTCCAAAATGTTTTTCTTTTACCAATACATTCATAATTTGATTTAATTGTAATTTAAAAACCTTAGAAATTATATCTGTACGATCTTTTGGAAGTTGTTTTCCAATCATGCTCAACATATAATTTATCTTTGGCTATTTTGAATTAGTTGTAAAGGTTATAAAAAGATCTAGATTACATAACTACATGCAAACTACCAATGCATCTTGATAATTTTGTATCATGTCTATAGGCCCACCAGTAAATGTTATCAGCAAAATAATTTTTTTTCCAATTGTGCTTGCAAAAGTGTCACCTCGAACAACAGCATCATAAAGATTTTTATAAATCTTTGATCTAAGTTGTGGTTGATTATTACAAACCCATTTTAGTTGTTCCTCTTCAATAGCTGTATATATATCCACCTAAAAAAAGAGTCTGTCCATCATGTATTCTAACTTGTATAAAATATGCAAAAAACTCTCTCATCATATAGAACATCCTTTCAGTCTTTTTTTTCTTTCATTATGATAATAAGGAATTTTTTAATGTTATCCATCTTCACCAACATGGAACAAAATTGGATATTGAAGTGCCATAAAAAGGGGAAGAAGTTCATGAATTCTTTTAAATCCTTTATATCTATGTTCTATAATGATATCTTCCTATTATCTCTATCTCCAAAATCTCCCATCACAAGTGCTTTAATTTTTTAAGACAATAGAACACCATAAGATCTCATTCCATCAACTCTTGATCCAATCAAACAAATAGAAAATTTTGTAGTATTAGATTCAATAATCTAGTCTCTAGCCATATGGAAAACTTGAACAATAGGATTATTAGCATCAAACATCTACAACAATAACTCAACTATGCAAGAGTCCAAGTTCTCTGTATTTTTTCCATCCTTTAATGTATACATTATATTAACAATTTCATTCTCGGTATCATTAACATACAATTATGAGAATTTCAGCATTTGACCATCAAAGGGCACCAAAAATCTCAATCTACGATAATTTTGTCCACTTATTCTAAAAATGTATGGACCATGTCTGTTGTTTATTGAATTATACCTGCTTCCATATATGTGAATGCAAAGATACTATTGTGACCTTTGATGTTATCCCTAAATTTTGTTGACTGAGATCTACCATTTGGATGCAATAAACTTTTCAAGGGTTTAAGAGTCTCCTTCTTTGATGGCAACTTTATTTTTTCCTCTTGCCAATAAATTGAAAACTTCATATTGTTTATTTTTTTAACCAAATTTACCTTTTCTTTTTACCAAACAACTGCTTAATAGAATGAACACTCAAAAGTTGAAATACCAAGATCAAGTATTCTAATGAGACATCTATTCATAAAAAAATTGTTATCCGTTATAAGTGAACAACAACCCAAATTGCATGTTCATGTTTGACAAGTACAAAATTTACTTTCGTGTAGGTCTTTTATATAGAAATTATAATCCAAACTATCTTGGGTGCTACTCATTAAAAAAGGCTTTTGGGTTGACAAATCATCAATATCTGAAATAATAAAAATTATAAATGTTGAATATAACAATATAATTAAATAATGTTCATTATTTGAAAATAAAAGAATCAAATAAATTTTGTTTGAAATCGGTTATAAAATTGAAACAAATAAAAAGTAAATATAAAATAATATAATACTTCTTATAGTTTCATGAATTATAAGAGAATAAAATAGAATACATTAAAAATATTAAAAATTTGAATATATATCCAATTATTTTCAAAATAATGTTACAAACTAAAGGAGTACTTCACAATTTTACAACGCAATTAATTATTTGAATTTTTTATTTTGAAAAAGGTCAATGATGATATGCTAGTTTTGAACTTCAATTTGACAAAACTAATAATTAATTACAATCTTTCAAAAAAAAAAAATTAGTCCAAACTAACCTTTAAGAACATAGGCAGTTGTTAAAACTCTCAAAACAAATGCTAATCTTACTTGCGGGAATTAAGGGATCAATATTGTTAAGTTATTCGATAATCATATTTATTTTTTACAATAGAAAATTTTTTTATATAATATAAATCCTCTTCATGAATCTTATTCTTTAATTGATATGCATTACAATTCTAAGGAAGAACGTGAATATAAAATCCCACAAAATTAATAGAAAATGACAAAATAAGTCAAAGAAATGAAAATAGAAACAAAATATTATTTATGTATCTTTTCATGAACCAACACCATTTTTATGCTAACACATTGTTTAATTTTATAATTATAAACATTCCACAATTGATTAATACGAACTTTGAACCCCCAATAATCTTTTTCAAAAGTCAATTTATCAACCGTACATATTCTAATTGGCTAAAAGCCAAATTTTAAATGAAATTAAAAAAAAAAAGATCATGAATTATGAAATAATAACAATAATGCAAACACTAAAAATACATCAATTTGGCTAAAAAGCAGAATTGAAATGCCAAACAAAAAATTATCGATCATGATATAAACACAACAAAAAAAAAAAAAAAAACTTCATGATTAGTAATATGTCAAACAAGTATTCGGAAAGAAAATGAAATACAAATATGAAATATACTCATATAACCCTCCCACTCCTAAAAAAAAGATGAAAAATCATAAGTCACAACAAAATAAAAAAATCAATAACATTAATATTAGAAAACTAAAATTTTCAATAAATTTTAACAAATAACGATTTTAAAAAGTATAAATAAAAGAAAATCAAAAGTAAAAAATTTGTAAAAATATAAGCATCCGAATAAAAACAAGATAAAAAATCATAAGTCATAAGAAAATCAATAGTAAAAAACATTAATATTAAAAACTAAAAGTTTCAATAAATTTTAACAAATAATGATTTTAAAGAATATAAATAGAAGAAAATCAAAAGTAAAAAATCCATAAAAAAATAGGCATCCAAAAATCTATTGTGATGAAAAATTATAAATTACAAAAAATCAATAGTAAAAAATATTAATATTAGAAAACTAAAAGTTTCAATAAATTTTAACAAATAATGGTTTTAAAAAATATAAATAGTAGAAAATCAAAAGTAAAAAATTCATTAAAAAAATTAGGAAACTAAAAGTCTGTCATGTTTAATGTAATAAAATTAGAAGATATAAGTTTAAAATTTATGTAAAAAAAACTTGATATTTATTACAAAAGATTTGAATTTTATTCAAAAAAAAGTTAGCAACCAAAAGTCTATTGTGATAAAAAATTATAAATCACAAGAAAATCAATAGTCAAACATTAATATTAGAAAATTAAAAGTTTCAATAAATTATAATAAAAAAAACATTAATAAAAGAAAATCAAAAGTTAAAAATTTATAAAAAAAATTTAAGAAATCAAAAGTTTATTGTGTTTAATATAATAAAATTAGAAAATATAAATTTAAAATTTATGTAAAAAGCATTTATTATAAAATATTCATATATATATATATATATATGTGTGTGTGTGTGTGTGTATGTATGTATATGATTTTACTCATTATTAATCTTGTATGCCAGTTTTCAAATCTATAAGATATTTCTCATCAATTTTATAAAATGAATACTTATAAATATTTGATTGACTTCAAAATTTGATATGACCAATGGGCAATGGAGATGAAATGTAATTATAACTTATAAGTGATGCAGTGATCTAATTTAATTATTTAACTATACTTTTTAATCCTGGGAAAGTTAAAAGGAATTTCAAATTTAGTTACAGGGCATTAGTATCTTATTTTGTATGTTTATGTGTTCAAATTTAAAATTTCAATTTTTTTTAAGAGAAAGATTAAACATTTTTAATTATTTAAAATTAAAATTTTTAATTATTTAAAATTAAAATTTTCAATTTTTTAAGGGTGCCGAGCACATTTCCTCTCCTGCCTGTAAAAAAAAAAAAAAAGGAGGGAGGGGAGAGGAGAAAAAAAGGGTTTTGGAATTTGTTTTTTTCTTCTTTTTCATTTTTCCCATGTCATTTTATTTTTCTATTTTCCTAATTTTTCATAAAATATTTTAATTTAGAATAATTTCATAAAAATATTAACAACTATATATTTAGTGAATTAATTTTCTTTTCGTAATGTATAAAAATTTGTTGGGTTATGTTAGTAAGATCAGAAAAAAAGGAAGAAGAAAAATATATATAGAAAAAAGAAAACGAGAAATATGAATTTTTAGGTATTATTCTTATTTGTATCAGTTTCTAATTTCTTCTTCTTCATTTTCCCTTACTTTTCAAATAATTTCTTTTGAACTTTAGAGTTTAGAATAATTTTAAAATACCAAATAAATAAGGTTTTATCAATAAATTATTTTTTAAAATCATATACTGCTTCTATAGAAAAACTTCAAAACAAAGTTACAAGGCGATGAGGATAGAAATATATATATATATATATATATATATATAGGATTTCTTTTTTTTCTTTTACATTTTTCCAAAAATTCCTAACAAAAAATTTTTAAGTTATTATAATTTTAAAAAAAATTATGAAACATACATTATTGATCTATGACTTTGTATTTTTAAAAATTGAAGAAAAAAGGATAAAAGAGGAAAATAAAAAAAGGAGAAAATTAAATAAAGAAAATTTGTTAAACTTTTTATCATCCTATTTTTTTCATTCTTTTTCTTTTTCTTTTTTACCTTTATTCAATCTTCCTTCCATTAAAAAATAATTTTAAATAATATAAAATTTATCAATTTATATTTTTCAAAACCTATAACTCTTGCATGGTTATAGTTTTAATCAAAATTTTGAGAAAAAGTAAAGTATATCCATGCAACTGAAACAAAATAAGATGTGAATGAATGAATCACGTTAAAATTTATATAGAAAGGGACAGGCACTGTATTGGTAAAAACTGACAGAGAGAGCAAGTGGATAACATCATGCACCTACCCACTTACAAATGTTGTAAGTTAATTTGCTTGCGATGAAGAAAATTTTGGGTTTGATTCATTCTACAATGGAATGATGAATCAAAGATCAGATGAATATTTTTAATTTATTCATCATACATCTAATAAGACCCAATTAACTAAATATATAACAATGTATAGTCAAATTAATAGAAACAGAAGACGCCACCCCTAAGAACTAATCGATTGAATTTGATTTAGATGGCAGAACTGTGTTATGAAGAGGACCAGATGTGATAATGACCCATGCCCATTTCATCTTCTGGCTCCAGCACCATGTCGTACATCTCAGGGACTAGTGGCTCAGCAGCATCCTTTGACAATTTCTTCTGGTTTTCATTTTTGGTTTCATTTTCCAAGTAAAGCAGCCAGTTGTTATTTTCAGCTTCTTTGCTGTACTCTTCTCCAAAATTTGAGCTCTGGGTTCCCTCAACTTCATGTGATTGAATTCCATCAGACTGGAATGATCCTAAGCTATCCAACATATTCCAAAAGTCCAAATCAGACTCCAATGGGATATCAAAGACGGTATCTGAGATCTGATCTGGTTTGTTCACCTCCTCTGATGTGTTTTTAGCATCATAAAATCCTTTGAAGTTGAATAGTGAACCTGCTTGATCGTCCTGGTTTGAAACATCAGCCTGACTGGAATTGGTGTTGTTGGAAGAGATTGAACAACTTGACAATTCTTTTGGCTCCTCTGACGGGCTGCTGCTATGGTTTGATAGCTCGGTTTTGAAGCCCTGTGCTACGTCTGACACTGCTATAGCAAATGCCTCTGTGGGATTTTTGGTCATAGATCTTTCATCCCATTGTTGCTCAAGTTCAACTTCTAAATTTCTTTTGCCACTTGATGATGACACAAATGTGATAGACGAACATGATGATGATGAGGTCATTGAAGATTCCTTGGATTCATCTTTTTGAGGAATATTTCCTTTCTTCGAAGCCAATCTCTTTTTCAAATGGGTGTTCCATACATTCTTTATCTCATTGTCTGTTCTTCCTTCTAAATGAGATGCAATTTTAGACCACCTAGTAATTAATTTAATTGTAAGTTTGTGACATAAGCAATTAAGATGACAAAAAAGAAAGAAAAAAAAAAGAGAATTTCTCAATTGAAAAAATGTCAAATGAAGTCGGATTAAAGTTTTCGTTTTTTGTTTGAGGTTGTTAAGAATTAATCCTTGCAAGTTATTGAAAGTAAGAGTTTAATATTTTACTAAAGGTAGATCTAGTGATAGAGTTAGGGTATCTATGAACACTTCAAAAATTAGAAAACAAAAAAAAAAATTTGAAAAAATTTTTTTCTCTTGACACCCTCAAAAATTTTCTAATACGTTTTCAATTGATAAAATTGATAAATCAATCATCAATTTATATATATATATATATATATATATATATTATAAATGATCACTTCAGAAAAAAAATTTGGATCTACCCTTGCACTCTGCCAATTAATAAAATGAATATTGACCACTGGCAAATTAAAGCCTATTTGACTAGTTCTAATTTGAGACTCACTTGTTTCCCAGAGTCTCATGCAACCTTATTATAGTCTCTTCTTCCTCTTTGGTGAAGTTCCCTCGCTTGACATCCGGCCTTAGGTAATTAATCCATCTTAAACGGCAACTCTTTCCACATCTCAGTAGCCCTACAGCATAATTCAAATAATGAATGTGAACTCTTGAAAATTGTATTCCAAAAACAATAATATCTAAACTCTAGCAGAAACTTCTTCTAAGTCTTCTTTTATCTGTTGAGATGGTGACAGAAACAATGGTGACATTCAATGCTTTTGCCTTCAGATTTCAACTAAGGAAAGATTAAAAGGAGAAGACACATTCCTTTCTGTATGTTGGGATGATTGTATCAGATAGGGAAAGCAAAATAAGAAATTCATTAGTGTGTTAAGATGTCAAAGGTTTCGCTTTAAAATAAGAAGAAACCAATTCATTCTTTTATATGAATCTAAGACTAAGTTAGGTGCTTGGAAAAACTTATTCATTATGAACCACGAAAATGGAAACCCCATGCATACAGGTGTCGTAACGGTGTTTGACATGGACACACCACCGACTCGGCAGAATACCTACCGGACACGCTAGGATATGGAAAAAAAAAAAAAAGTAAAGAAATTAAACATGGTCAAAACACAGTGACGACTTTGAATCTAAACAAAAAGAAACTTCCGTTTAAGGGAAAACAAAAATGGAATTAAGATTTAGCTAGTAGCTAGAGGCATTGTGACAATCTGATGTTGACCCCCAATTGTTGAGCTGCCTCATCTTTTAGGTAGAAAATTTCCTAACTTACGACAAGACGTGGGAATTGAAAATGTCAAGTATAAAACAAGGGGAAAGTAGATTCTTGCATTGACCTTCTCATTTCAACAAAACAGCCCAAACACCAACACCAACAAAATTATGACAAAAGCAGTACAAAGCAAACTTCTTACCAAAACAAACAAGTATGAAGAGTCCAAACATTTCCTCCAACTAATACCGATGAATTGTTTCTTGATCAACAAGGTTTTCCTTAAACTAATCCGAATGATTTCCGAAGGTGGAAAGCCCCGGATTGTGCCATACATATGCTCATACTGAATGGCATAAAAGATGGAAAACTGGGGTGATTTTTTTTTTCTTTTCTGCAAAGTACATTTAAACGTTTGCAAGGTGACAATAACAGAGAAGAAATTCACTGTATGAGGATCTTTTTGGAGACTATGGTTGACAAGTAATAAGAAAATTGGCAGTATCTGCGGGATTTGAATTAGTATTTCATTGCGGCAAACGTTTCAAACTTGCCTTCTAATCATGGCCTGGAAAAAATAGTTATTATCTATAGACAATGTAACAGTAACCAGCCTCACCTTATTCAAACTAAAAGCAAAATTTTTACAGATTAATCTGCAATGCCTTCTTTTCCATGTGATAAATTGAGAAAATTGAACAAAAGGGTGGTTTAACAAACATGGTTGGAAGACAAAAAAATGAAAATGAGATCAATGAAGAGATTTCCATTGGTTAATTCAATGACCAAAAACAAAATCAATAACAAATTAATCAGAAAATGTTGGTTCCATGTATGAAGCCATGAACAATATTAAGTCTGGAATGTTTTTTATGATCACCATATTCAGATTGGACAGAGTGATGTAAACAGCTGTAGGGTATGTTGGTAGAATGTTGAAACCAGTGATCAAGGTTCAATCTTTACAGAAAAAAAATAATAAAGAGGGAGAAGAAGAGAAAAGAGACTGACCAGCTTGTTTTGGGAGAGCCCTCCAGTTTGAATGTCCATGTTTCTGAATAAAAGTGATAAGCCTCAAGTCCTCTGCAGGACTCCATGGACCTCTCTTTACTTTGTCCTTATCACAACATGGAGCTCTTCCTTTCCTCATAGCTGATTTCCAACTAAACCTTTTTTCTTAGAGGACTCACCTTTCTCCTTGAATGAATATAACCAAAACAAGGAAAGAGAAAGAAGAATAGCACTTTTTTTCCCTCACGTGTATCTGATTCCTCAGCACAATTCCACTCTCTTTATATATAAATACAAGAAATGCTACAAGGGTCATGCCATGAAACGGGGATACCCTTTTTAAAGCAATAAATAGAAAGAGATCAAGAAGATTACTAAATATCTATAATCTGATGCTTACTTCACCCTCCCCTTACCCTTTTTTGAATTTGATTTTTTTATTTTTCACCGAAAACAGAGCATATCACTTATAATTAATCAGTTATAATTTAAAATTATACTAAATTTATCAAAATTTTATATAAATCTCACACTTATAAATAATGTATCCCTTCATAATTTTTTTTTTGTGATTGGACAAATATTCTAATAAAAAAATTATAAATAATCACGGTCATTCATTGGTCCAAAATTTGACATCACTTACCATTTCTATAAGACGTATAATCTCTCCCAAATTTTATTTTGATTGATTCCCAAGGAAAAGATGCATACCAATCAGACTTGTGGATGCTTTAATTATAATCAATAGTTTCCAATTTTGACATATCAAGTCTTGTGCTCAGCCTCATTCTCATTACTCTGTTTTGGTATGTAAATCTAACAGCATTTCTTGCCAATTCAAGATGGCTAGATGTGGCTGGGCTAGCAAATTTTTTACATGATCCCATAACATAACCGAAGATATACGTCATTAGTGATGTCAATTTTACTTATATTTTGAATTTAATTTTTTATTCAAATAAAAATAAAAATAAATATTATACTATGAGTATAGAGATAGTGATAAGTATGAATTTAAATTTTTATTGTGTACAAAAATGAGAACGGGTAATATAGCATTTACATCGTATTTATATCTTACATATATATTTAATAAAAAATTTTATTAAATAATATAAATTATTATTTTAAAATAATTAAAATTAATATATTTTTATTGAAAAAATATATTACTATATATTTATAAAAAAAAATACTTAAATATACAAGACAAAAATAAAAAAAAAAATTTGGTTTTTACTATTTTAAAAACTTATGGTTATAGAAATTATTCATATCTATCAAATACTCGTAAGAATAAAAATGAGAATAAATTTAAAATACATATTAGATATGAGTATGAAAATAAATATAATTTAAAAATTTAAAAATAAAAATAAAAAATATTCTATTTTCTTCATATCCTGCCTATTAACATTCCTACACCAAGTTAGGTGAATTATATTGAATCATATTCATGTGATTATAACACGAAAAAGTTTGTCTAATATGAGTTGATCATACACAAGAAAAATCAGTGGCATAAGATCAACTAACACAATGTGAATCTACTCTCTCCCTGGCTCTTCCAAAACAACCTATTGGCCCATCAAATTTTCCTTACATTTCTTTATAATCCTTACTTCTTGCAAGTATAATTGAGCTAAATCGAATCGATAAATTATATTTGATTTACTTAATTTAAAATTTGATATTTAAAATTTGGTTTAAATTTTATTTTTTATATTTAAATTTAACTTATAATTTAATTGAGTAATTCAAACTTAATTTGATAAACTCGCTAAAATTATAAATATTAATATTAAATATTATATTTTTATCATTTATTTATATATACATATATTAAATATATAAAAAAATTAAAATTTGATTGAACTTATGTCAAATATTAAACTATTCAAACTTGGTTGAGTACTTGATAATGAATGGATTAAGTTTGAGCATTTTCTAAATCAAATATGAAATTTATTCTCATATTACTTCTCGCCGCCCCTCTCCATCTCTAAAATTTGTGAATATTTTTTTTAACAGTTAAGTTTCTTTGGGAGGAAGTAGCATAGTTTTAACAGATGTTTGGTGGGAAGGAGCTGAGTTTAGTTTAACTTTTGCTTATCAGCGTAGGTAAAGACCTGGCCAAACTGCAGTGACATTTTGACTTAAATTTGGTTGTTGAAGACTACTTTATTTCATTTTGTGGCTTTCTTTTTTTGGGGAGATGAGCCATTGTCAAAGCAAACGACATGCAAAGGTTTCTTATCAGCTTACGTTTCTCATGATTTTGTTATTTAAAAAAAAAAAATGTCATTAACTTGATCAGTCGCAAAAAGGGAAAAAAACCCCTTTTTCTCTGGCTTGAATTTTAACAATTAGAGTTGGTAAGAAAAACACATCTTGAACGGATCATATAAATTATTTAATACATTTTAGGTTTAGTTCTAAGTGCCATAGTCCTTCAATCTCTATTTGATCTGAATCTATGCATGAAGGTACAGCTTAATTAACATATATAGATGCATATATAGGTAGAATAGAATACCACCTTACCCAGTAACCTCAAATCTTTAAGTTCAATGACAGCAATGTTTTAGCCTCTGGCTGCATAACATAAATTTATAAACTTGAATATTGTTAGGCTGCTTCTCAATTTTCATGTTATTTTAAGTTAGGAAAAGAGAAAATTTGAACTACAATTGGCATATATCAACGTCTCTGTTTTATAGTTATAGTCAAATTATGCCAGAGGTTCTTACACTTTGAGAAATTTGAAATTTAGTCATTCCACTATAACTTATATAAATTTAGTTATCGTATTATTTTGATTTAATAATCTTTGATTAATTACTAATTTCGTTAATTTTTTGCTTTTAAAAATGTTGAAGTGGCTATTGACTTAGTCACATGGGTATTAACTTTGTTAATATAACATTAACTCGTTGATACGGCAACTTGGATAAATAAAATAAGTTATTAAATTATATAAATTGTCTTTATATTCACACAAAATTTGAAATATAATCCTTATACTCACACAAAATTTAAAATTCAATCTTTTTAATATAAAAATATTTTGAATTTTTTAAAAATATTAAATTTCAAAAATATTTTAGTTCCTTTAATATAAAAAATATTTTTAGAAATATATTATTTTTTATTATATATAATTAATTATTAATAATATCATATTAATAAAAATATTATTATCATTTAATTAATCAATTATAATATTAATAATTTAAATTAATCTAATCAAATTAATATTATTTTAATTAATTTAAATATTTCATATAACAAATTTATAATTAACCAAACTATTAAATAAAATTACATTTGTAATGAATCCGAAATAGACTATAAATGGAATGATTATTCCATTCAACCAAATAAAATAAGATATTCAAACTTAAATTCCTACTAGGGAAGCACTCTTATTTATTTAAAGGATGAACTTTAAATCCTAACAAAACGAAATAAAAAAATAATTTATTTGATAAACTAAAATATCAATATTGTATATCATAATGACAACTTTTAAATTTTTTCTTAAAAAGAACTTATCTAAATAATTATGTTACATTAAATAATAAGATTAATCTAAAACCAATACAATTAGTAAATTCTTTAATGTATTTAAAATCTTAAACCTAGATTTGATTATAAAAAAAATCATTTAAATAGGGTTTAACTTAAAAGAATAGAAACATTTTTTTAATGGATAAATTTACCCTTATGGGATAGAATTATAATTCTAATTCATTTAATAAATTAATAAAAAGAAATAATAGTTTTATTAAAATTAGAATGTGATAGATTTGTATCATATATTAAAAATTTTATGATAGATTTTTATTGAAAATTTTGTGATAGATTTTTAATAGATTTGGATAAGATTTTTTCATATGGCCACAATATACTATAATTGTAACAAAAAATGTGATAAAATTAGTAACAAATTTTATATATTATGATAAATGTAATTAGAAATTGTGATAGAATATTATGATAATTTTTTAAATTTAATATTTTAAAAAACCAGAAAAATTCTAAAAATTCAAAATATTTTTTATATTAGAGGGATTAAATTTCAATTTTGTGTGAATACAAGGACTAAATTTTAAATTTCATGTAAGTATAGAGACTAAATTTCAAATTTTATACGAGTATAAAGGTCACTTGCATAATTTTAAATTTCATAACTAAATTTCAAATTTCATACAGTATAGAAACCACTTTCATAATTTAACAATTAATTACATCTATGTTAATAATCACCTCAGCAAATCAACATTATGTCAACAAAATCAATGCCACATCAACAAAGTCAATGCATATATTATTAAGTCAGCAATCACGTTGGCATTTTTAATGATAAAAAATTGATGAAGTTAGTAATTTGACTAAAATTTTCAAAACAAAATAATAAAAAAATTAAATTTATATGAATTATAATATAAAAACTAAATTTCAAAATTTCACAAAATATAAAAACATCTGTCATAATTTGACTTATGATTATTAATGAACACATTTATATATATTTTGAACCACAAATTTAATCCAATTAGATTTATGTAATTATCGAGATAACATATAATAAATTTGAAATTCAAAATTCAATAATTACAATTCATTTTCAACACCCAAACTACCACATATATATTTCAGCAGTAGGACCCTTTTGATGCTAAAATATCTGTTTCTACCTAAATTGGTAAGGTTTATTGGTCAATTGAGACCACAAAAAATCCTTCCTAAATGTCAACAATAGTACCCTCTTGCTCTGCTCATCCTTCCTCCTTTTTTTTTTTTTTTTTTATAATAAACGTTAACTATAGCAAGTGGAATGTTGTGAGATTCATGGCGTGCATGTTGAAAGCAGCCATCCATTTAGATCATGAAAACAACATAAGTCTTATGATTTAGGTGACCCGCCCAAATTGGTGCCTTTTGAATATAATAAGATCATAGATTATTATTTTATAGAATTTTATAGAATGATTATTATTTTATACCCAACGTTTCAGTTTTAAAAATTCGCAGACAGGTTTTTAAACTTGACATATGGCTATTTTAATTTATAATAATGCATACTTACAAACCTACTTAGGAAACTTATATACATGGATTAATCTAGTTGTTAAGGAAGGAGCACTTTTTCCTTATTAATCAGAATCCAATCCTTGTAATCGAAATACTTTGAGAGTAAAATCTTGAATACATAAGGTTAATATGAGAGAGTGGATCTTTAAAATGGTCTGAAAAAATTAGGCTTAGGCAATATCCTAACCCGTATGAAAAAATTATAAAATTTTTAGACTATATTGACATTACTTTAGGTAATAATCCTTCATAAAATTATAATGATGATAATAGACAATAAATCTCTACAAGTCTAACCATTTGAAATAGACCATACCCCATAACTAATACAGCTTCAAGTCTTTTGTTAGGGAAGCTAACATCATATATGTTTT